GAAGCCGCAGCTATTTGGGTCGAACCAGCTTACATTCGCGTATTGGGTAATTATATCAGAAAAAAGATAAAAATTAACCGCATATTTATCTATGCATATGATTTTTAGAACTAGGCGAGTACTTCTACAAACCCAACTCTCTTAATTCGTCAATTGATAATAATAGTTTGGAAACACGAGAGCATATGATTGAATTTGATGACTTCCAGACTCATCGGTTACAACATGACAAATGTAAAGCAGCGAAACAAGCTTCGCCATCAATTCCAACATCGCCACTAGAATCTAAGTAATAATGTTCAAACGAGCAAAAAAACTGAAAAAGATAGTTGCAGTCAAAGCTGCTGAAATAGAAACTGAAGTTAATCAAATGTTAAGAGCAATAGTTGAAGCAAAAAGGGTCGAAACATATTAAGATAACAATCGACATAACAGACTTAATCATAGACGATAAGAAAGCAATAACAATCGAAGCGATGAGCGTAATTGTACACAATACTATAACAACAGACGAGATCATCGATGATAATACAGCAACAACCGAAATGGTAGAAATAATGCTAGAATTACAGAGATTAGTAGAATAAAAGCATTTATAACTTCAAATAGATTTAATATGACTAAGATTTGATGAAAGTCTTTTTCTCTTTTTTTTCATTACTGATCAGTAGTTGCATGCATTTAGAAAACTTGAAGAACATGTAATGTTAGCATTATTTACTCATAAATCAACTCATTGAAGTTATATAAAATAATCACTCGCATATGCATGCAATGATGGTTTCCATGTGGAATTATGCTTCACATTCAGTCATAAGTCAAGGGTATGAGTGTGTGTGTCTTTAGTTCAACTACACGTATACTCACATCCATTGATCGATCGATCTGACTACTTTTCATGGATAAAAAAAATCTAATCAGTTTGTTAGTCTTTACTTTGTCACAATTTAATCAGATTTCTACAAAAGAATTTTTACTTAATACTAGTGCATAGATATCAGAGATCTGCAATTCGCTTAAAAAAGAGCCTCGCCTCACCTAGAACTTAATGTAAAAACAGGCGTATTCTGATGCATTTTAGCCTCATCTAAAAGTTACTATCTCTTGTATTTCATAAGAGTAAACAAAGTTATCTCGAGTGGTGAAGATCTCCCAATTCTGAGAAATTTTCGTTCCTTCCCAGTAAAATTTCAGAAATTTTTCGTTTTTTCGCTCGCCAATTTTCAATATATTGCTCGATCTTCCCTAGCTTTGTTCAATTTTAGTAAAACTTTTCTTATCGATCCCATAATTTATAGATGCTCCCAACCCGTGTGACTTCGGCATACTCCAGAGATGAAATGAAATAAAATATAGGGTATCTGGAAAGTCATTGACGAAAAAAGAAAAGTTCATGTTTCCATCATGTTTCTGTTGGATGAACTTATTTTTGTCATAATGGTAGAGGACAATTCGACGTTTTTATTCAATTGCATAGATTTCTCAAATATTCTTACAAAGTAATGCATTCAGGTTCAATGCACAAATGAAAGTCTTTTTCGGAGTGATAAAGAACAATATGTAGAAATATGTCGACTTTATTGCATTTTATCTTATATTGCATATTATTTTTTTATATCTCATACAAGTACCCTTTTGCATATTGAACCAAAAAATGTTACTTATAAGAATATATGAGATATCGATACTATGTAATAAAAAAAGGTTTTCTTTTTCGTCAATGACTTTCTAGACATTTTATACTTTTAATTCATATGAATAGTTTCAACAAAACCAAAAATAGATATTGAGACCAACATGAATAACTATGCATTGTCAACCTCGTTCATAGAGGCAATTAAAGTGAGTGTTAAAAAAAGTGCACAACTGTCAATTATATAAATCCAGCGTTGAATAAATAATTGAATATGTAAGTAATACAAAAGACATTTGAAACTCTATCCTGATTCGATTCGACAATTTTCTTTTAAGCTTTTGATTAGCATGTTCATCATCATCAAACAATAACTAAAAACAAAATACACAAAAATATTATCTAAATATAGATTCAAATAATTTTTTTATGTATTCTCTCTCTTTATTTGAAATATTATCTTGTTAAATCATTTAGTTGAATATAAATCCATGTAATTGTTCTCTGTATTTTGTGTTGTTGTTATTATTGTATATCGATTATAGTAAATGTACTCACTAGAAGCTCGACAAAACTTTCGAGTTCTCGATCAAGTGTAAGCATGTTTTCTAGAAACACTATACTGAATTATTTATTAAACTATCATATATTCTTCTCTTCCTGCTAGATCTATATACATGATGCATTTATATTTTCGAATCTATTATATCTATTTATGCAGCAAAAACTATATAGTGAGCAGACGGATAGCTCGCCGAGTTTCTGATCTCTGTTCTGTAACTCTTGAACGAGCTGTCATCATGTAAACCCAATGGTGACGCAGCACAAATCTGCAAGAGCAAGATGACTTTTTCCAGAAAAAGCTAAGTCTTACAGTTTGTTAGCGGATGCAAATAATGTATCTATTTTCAAACATTAAAACAGAATTCTTATTCATCAAACTAAAATGTATACTAACCTTCAAATAGTGACAGAATAGTAGCAACTTAACAATCATTCTGCCAAAAAAAGTATTCACATGTCAGTTCCTAACAATAATAACCGATCTGCTTTGGAAAAAAATCTATTTAGCTCAGATGTAATTATTTTTTTCGTATTCTTATATAACTTCTTTTGTGATTTATTATTGAGTAAAGTAAGACAACAAAAAACATCGTTAGTCTTCAACGAAAATTAATTTATTTCGAGCCTTCCGCTATTATCAATTGTTGTCATCAGGAAATCACTAATGGAAAGTCCAACAAACTATATATATACAAATTTACAATTGAAGATCAAAGAAAAAGATCAAATAATTACAATTTGTCAATAATATAATGAATAATTATTCTATTTTTTTCAAATTGTAATTATTCTATCTTTTTCTTTGATCATTAATTGTAAATTTATATATATATAGTTTGCTGGGTTTTCCGTTAGACATTGCCTAATGATGATAATTGATAATTGTGCAAAACTCGAAATAAAATAATTACTGTTAAAAATTCAAAATATTTTTTGTTGTAGAACTTTACTCAATAATAAATCATATTTATTCAACTGCATCTTCTTCAAATTTCTTTTCTGTTTAAACATTTAAGACTTAGTTTTATTTTTACTCCATAATATTTACGGCGAGGGTATGGGTGTGGATGTAGATTCACGATAAGGTTATTTGTATCCAAAATCTCACCTACATCTTCGGAGTGAAATAGCCAATGTTTCGTATATTTCTTCATGAATTGTCTTTTGCCAACATAATCTACGAAGAATTTTAGCATTATTTCATCGTGCATCCTTAAAGCAAAATCTTTGTAGATTGTATAAACACGGCAGTTCTTTTTTAATTTAACATTACATTTCTTCTCGAAACTGCAATATTTTCCCAGCAGTTCTCGTCACTCACCGTCATTACTTTCCGCATTAAATTATTTTACTATGCATCAATGTACTGCTGAATGCAATCGTGCAACACTTTGTTCGATTGACAACAAGAACAGTTTCCCAGTTAGAACTCATACGTAAACCTAAAAAAAATCAAATTTTCATTGTTTATATACAAATACAATCCAGACTATTTGCACAAAAAAAAGCTACACCTATGTACTATAAAATAAACTGAGTGCAATGAAGACACTCTCATATCCATATTTTCACAGACTTGGTTTTGTTATAATAGAATTACTTTTTAAAAAAAAAAGGTAAACATATACTATGATAGCGATTGAAATTTTCTATTTTTTCACACATTTGTCTACTGTGCTGCATTTATCTGATACAAAAATAATTTGAGTGTAAGGGAAACACCTTAATTGACATGAACAAAGAATATACAACTTTCGCTTCTTTATTAGTTTTCACTGTCTAATTATAGGTACTATCGAAATAAAATTTTAGAAAAGAAATTATAATTTCTGTTAGAGCTTCAAATTCTCTATCATCATACTTTTTTGGTCCTCATGTTTCAGTTAAGCATTGAAGAATAAGTTGATTATGATGCAGGCACGTTCCTTGACACATCATAAAAGAAATGGATTTTTTAACCATAACTTTTCTTTTTTCTAGAGTTCAGTATGATCGAGAATGTAAAGCAATAGTATGTATGCTTTAAGAAAGCATAAAAAGTAGCAAATTTTCGTACATATCAGTTGTGTCTCCCTTGTACTTAATAAAAAATACTGAACTTGAGATGCATCGAATTAATAGACGTTCACTATAGAGACGTATATAAATCAAGATCTATTTGATTGACGATCCAGAAGCTTCGACATAAATGAAAAAGCTCAATTTAAACACGTATAGCTGACTAGAAATCTAGACAGTGACATACTCGACACATCTACAATCTTAAGATCATCCTTACGATAGTATGCTCTATCAGAAGGAATTTTACGGCATTCAGAGTAAATTTTATGAAATACGTCCTAAAAGGAGTATTGCAGTACATAGGATACAACTTTGTACCTTTTTAAAGATGATGTAGAAATGTGACCTATAATACACCTAGCTTTTGATTTAATTGAGGCAATTTTTTATTCATAAAATTTGACAAAATTTAGTAACAACATCAAATTTTACTTCACGATAATAGTAATATTTGTTTGCAACATGTATACAGTGATGACTAGAGTAAAAAAAGGTTTGAGTGGAGTTCATATGGAATTATAATTTGTAACGTTCGATAGATGATTGAATTGCTAACCAAGACCCTTGCTACATTTATTCTAACGTTTTACGATAATAAAGTTTTTTTTTTTTTTGACATGGCAATTTTGGTCTAAGTGGCAGGTGGAATGGAAGAAGTATCATTTGTTTGCTACATATACTTCAACATCTGTTAACAAGTGTGTTTCGCAAAACAGCTATAAATACACTCACTTTCCAATTTTTAAAACACTGCTATTTTCATTTTTCGATAAACCAATCGAACTAAATCCATAAACTCATTTCGAAACACAGTTCCAGTTAATGTGTAGATATAAAATGGTATTCCAAAACTCATAAAACTCAGAAGATAGAATATCTGAAAACAAAGATTTTCAATGGTTGACCTCAATAAACTTTTTGGGACAGTTAATGTCGATGTCAAATAGAGACGTTGAATAGCTAATGGGATGTTGAATATAGTCAATAGGATAATTTGAACAATTAACATTCGAATCAATTGTCGATCTGTCTTCTTAATTGTCATTGTTGTTCCATGTGTAGTAGCCATCGGTGCAATTGAACGAAGTAATTTTCTCACATTTTGTACAGTTGCATATCCAAATATCATCATAATGGTTGATGGTATAAAAACAAATGCAAGTGCCGAAGCAATTTCATTGTACAAACGACATGTCATATGTTGACCGTAACATGTTAATGGAGAATTTCGAAGATTTGGTACGTAACAATAGAAAGTTTCGCCAAATACCAATGATCCACCAGCAACCGAAACAATCATTAATCTGCGTGTAAAACGAAGATTGCTTAGATTCCGACGACGCACATCACGACAACTTATACAATATCGATCGATAGTGGCACAAGTCAAAATCCAGGATGAAGCCGTTGTTGATACCCAAATAATGAATGCTCGCAATTTACAAATAGTAGCATCAGTTGCTGATATATCAGACGAGAAAGTTGCAAAAACTCGACTGATTAAACCTGAATAAAGAGCAATTAAACCGGCAATGGATGCATAGAAAAAATAGACAGCACATGGATTTGTTCGATGTTTTGGTTGATGAAATATGATCAAATTCAAAATATTTCCAATAGTACCGAATAAAAGAACACATATTGTCAAATAGCGATTGATTTGAAATGTAGCTGCTGTCAATGTAGAAACGATACTGGTAGACGTTGCATTCGACATTGAGGTCAAAACAAAAAGCCTTCGTCATTTAAATAATCATCGCGTGATATGTCAGTCTTTTCTGATTAAGCTACTATTTGGTGAGTGACATCGTGATTAAATATTACTAGCTGCAGAAGTACAATTTTAATGACAAAATGGACCAATAGCTTATCGCTGCTTTCTATAATTATGTTTATTGCGCTAATTTATATCTTCAGCAGGCCTTAGCTTCAAACACCATATAGGCGCATATAGGGCAGAGCAAGAGAGATAGAAATGAGTACAAGAAAGAATAATAGAGAGAGGAAGAAGAGAATAGAGGCACTGTAAAAAAAAAAAAGAAAAGATTTCCGAAGAATTAATTATACTTTATGTTACTCATACAAGAGATCTCTTTAAAGATTTAAAAGTCACTCTATTATTTACGCAATGGCATAAGACAAAAAAAGATTGAACGACACACAACATATTCAGAATAGGATATTTTTACATTCCAAATCGATTAGCTTCAACATTTCATAGAAAATACAAAACAAAACAAGGATTGAATGCGAACGAGGAACACAGTAATATTCATTTTCACAAGTTCATTTAGTGTCTATAAATATTTTTCACAGCATAGGGAATACAAAAAATTAGCTTCACAGAATTCATAATAGTTATAAAATCATCAGGTGCTTTCACAAATATCTCTATTCTTATAATATCAATACATTAAAGACATAAAAAACAAACGTATAGTTCTCATATAAACTACAAAAAACGTCAATCAATTTTTAATAAACTCAAGCACATTTTGGGTCATGCACACTTAAACAACATGAAACAAGTAGCAGCATACAGAAAATTGAATCTAATGTGGAAATGTTACCTAGATTGATTTTTTTTCTTACTTTACCATCAGAATACTTTTACATTTCACATATAAACAAAAGATGGAGAAAAAAGGAAGTATATAATCCGAATGTTAATTCAAGAACCCTGGAGAGCAACTCATTTTCTACAAATTCAGTATTCTTTGTAGTGACTCTGCATAAACAAAAGAAAAGCAGCTTCACATTTCATAGGGTGTGTCAGTAAGGTGTGTGTGTGGATGAAACGACGATCAACTCAAACCCTTGTGCTTCATACATATTACATATAATGCACTCCCATTCTTTCATATTGTATTTGGCCCGAAATGAAATGAAAGTGGAAATAAATGTCGTAGTTTTCTTTCGATTCATCCCTCCCTTTAATCAAAAATTTCTTTCGAGATTTTTTCTTTTCTCATTTTCATTTTGATGCTCTCCAACATGTTTATTGGGAACAAACATATGCCTAAAGTTTGTATTACTCTTATACTCGAATTTCATGAAAACCCGAATGGTGCATCAAATTCATTTGATTCAAACCGACGTTCTCTTCTTTTGAAACGATCGCTTAGGTAGCGGCAAATACACAAAATGAATGTGACTCATTCTACAATATATAAATAAATGCTGAATGGGCCATCCAACTTGTATTGCTATGTTGTTACGCCAATCGGATTACTTAGTTTAGTATAAAATTGAATAGGGCATATTGATTTATTGTCTGCTCCTTTTACAAGTTACTGTGTGGGTGCGAGTGGTTGTAGGGTGTGCGTATGGGTGAACATTAGGCTTATATCCATCTACACTGAAACCCACACACCTACGCACCCACTCCACATCTACAATTGCACTCATATCCCGCATCCACACTCTCTTTCATTGATCCTCTTATTAATTCATACTCCTCAAAACTTTCTTCATCACATCGATCAAATGACAACTAATTTAAACTCTAAATGAAGAAGAAACAAAAATGGAAAATAAAACCAGTAGTAAACTTAGTCTAGGAACATGTACTTGACTAGAATAAGCCGCTATCATTACAGTCGCAACACCATCTACATAATAAATTATTATGGAAACACTTGTATCAAGTAAAATTCAATTTACAATTTCTACAAGTATCAAGGCGAGAATCAATCGGCTGGCCACTTAGATCGGTTCATTTAATCTTGAATTGATCATTATTGAATGTTTTTTCGTAACTAGAAATGAGCATCGAGTGAATCTAATAAAATCTTGATGAAATGCCATTGTTGAAGGTGATAAACTTGAAACCATGCTTTTTTGAACTCGATCTTTAAATCGTACACAAACAACTGAAATAGGAAAAAACAAAACAATATATATTGTTAAAGAAAAAAAATAACTAAAAGGTCAGAAAAGAAAAGATTTTCGAAAGAAGTAGATTAAAAAAAATATTTTCGTATTATTAAGGTCTTACTTATTGCGCGTAGTTCATTGAGTTAGTAAGCTATTTTATTGAGTGAACAGCAATAAATTAAAAGTCGCTCGACCAGGTGGTTTCAGAGCTTATTTGATAATAGACAAGTAATGTGTTGGATCATCAAAGAAAACTTGAAAAATTTTTTCTTCCGGAACTTTTTTAATGAATTATGTCATGTCACATCCTGAGAAAGCATATCTATTGATATATGTATGCTTTTTAGTACGTACATTAAATGACACGACTACTAATTGGCTAATTATAATACTTGGGCTGAAGGCAATGGCAAGTAAAACAATATCAGCACTAAAGCACAAACATATGCCTTCACTCTTGTTTTATATTTATCAGCAAAAGACTTATACAATTAAACTACAAGACAACATTTGCTCAACTCACTCTGTTGCTAGAACCATTATTGATTTTTCTTGTTGATCAAGACTACTAATATTCGTGTATAACATTATACGAATGTCGACTTAAGAGAATAATTAGCGATTGGCATCATGCCATTCTGTAATATAATTATTGTTGAATCAGGTCTGTCTATCCTCAAAAGACGATCTTTAGGCAAACGTTTAATCAAAGTTGGTTCCATCCAACAGCCTTTCACACATGCAGCCAGTGCAGCTCGATACGAATGAACAAAGTTGGGAAAAGTTGTTTTAAGTTTATCATTGTCCCTTAATTGATAAGTATATGTTTTTATATTATTGCTGTCTTTTGATAATCATTATAACCGTCTTGCTTTGACAGAATCAAAAAGGATATCGATACGATCCTAAAGGCAATTATGAAAGTTTGACCTTATTTGTAATCGAAATAAAAGTGGCGTGTATTTAAGATAAATACCGAATATTATTTTCTAATAATTGAATAACATAATCTCTTATTGTTCGTGTTTCTGATCAAGGCATGGTTTCTAATAAGCTTTCGTCATCATTACAAGAGCTATTTGATGTATAACAATCGGATAAGAAGAAGACAAGAATGATGGATACATTTAATCATTTGCATGTTATCTATTTGGAGAATATTCGATATGTGAATCAATTGAATTTGTTTCTGCTTCCATAACACATATTTCATGTTGATTAGCTGTGATAAGAGCTTGAAATGCGAAAGAATATGTTCAGTTATCAATTGCTTAATCATTCAATTGACCACTAATGCCATCTTTTGCTTCTCCATACTTATTTAATGTACATTCAATAGTTTGATCAAAAGAAATACTTAAATATGTTATTCATTGTCTATATGAAAGGAAAATTGATCTTACTAGAAAATCTTCGTTGTGATTGGATGATAGCAAAGGTATGTAATAATCGATTATATAAATAAGAAGAACATATTTGTAAATCTAACAAATGTTGAGTACATAACTAATTATTTAATTGCGATGGTTTGTTAAAAAGAATAATGGAGCGAATCGGTTATGAGTAATATTTCAGCCTTGAAAGTTACAAGTTCGTATAGAAATATATAATTTGAGTGAAGGTCGTAGTAAATCATGAAGAATTTTTCACAGCACGAACAGTTGTCCAAGCTTAAAATAATGATAAATTTTCAGTTTGTTTTATATTACTAAGTAGAAGTGTAAAGCATTTTTCGAAGGTTTCATGTGTGAAAAACTGAAACAACATTTGTTCAATGCTGAACTTCTGCTGATTGAAATAATGAATCGCTAATACACTCGACTTATTCTCATCGAAAAATGCTTTCAGCAAAAGTATTTGAACTGAAGTATATAATAATTTACAGCATCTCAAACTTTTGTTGAAGTGAGTGACGCTGAAAAGCAGAAAAAGAAATATTAGTTTTTCTGTACTAGTGCATTATGAAATAGGCAATACTATTTATGATTGTATACATTCTAATTATAATACTCACTTAGATACAGTACGTAAACTGGCTCCTTTGTCTATAATACCAAATAGATCTTCAAGTTTAGATCCTTGAAGAACATTCCATATAACAATCATCATATTTTTCATTAAATGAAAATCACCGATATACACGAATACTTGTTGAAAAAGATCAGACTTTTGTTGCTTACCCAGTGAACAATAATAGACGATGATAGACTAAGAATGCACATTTCAAGATTTATTTCCAAACACGATTGTTAAATGTTTTTCATCCAAAACTAAAATAGTCGTTAGCTGATGATTCAAACGCTGAATATTTTACGTGTATGTTGAAGAAATTTTTCAACTGTTGATTCTGCATATAGGGATCTTTGTTTATAGGAGTAAGAAATGAGATTGATTGAAGAGGTCCTTGTTTAAATGATAAATGACAAGCAATGCAAAAATAATGGCACAAAGTATCAGTCGTTATGTCTATTCAATCAAAGAGTACTGAAAGAAAACTTTTTAACCAAAATGATAGAGCCTTTTCTCCTCTTTCAAATAGTGTATGATTAATATTTATCACAGATGCATCAATAAAAGGGCATGAGAAAAAAGTGAAGCAATCGCGCAATAAATTTGTAATTTTTATATGAACTCGTCAAAATCATCTTGTTAGACAATAATTAATTCGATTTTTGTGGATTTATTAAAAAGATCTTGTGAACCAGTGATTACTTTGACTTTTATGAAATCGTTCAAAATATTCTGTGAAATGATAGAAGTATGAGTGTGAGTAAGAAAGATTTTTAGTCATACCCATACCCACACCCACACCCAAACTACATAAGTTATTAGTTGATTGAA